TTAATTCTTTTGTTTTCTTTGATTAAATATGGCTGCAATAAACCTCATCAACATCTATCATTATGATATTTTAATGATTTACAGCTTAAAGGGGTGGTCCAGAGTGTGTTTTTAAGCCTTGGTTGTGTTTATAAGATGCAAAGCAATGCGTGCTCATGCTTCATTTGTAGAAAATCAAGTTACTTTTTCAGATATCTTACTTTTATATACAGCTACTCAGCAAACATGAAAAGGACTGTCATATTTCCACATTCCTCCAAAGACCCACCCTCAAAATGCTCTGATTGGTCAACTAACATAATGTGCTGTGATTTGCGAATTGGTTCCATGCCACAAGTCAGTGTAACTGTTAGCCGCATCAGTTTAAGCCTAAATCAGACAGAAAATGAGGAGGACACAGCTGAACCTCACACCTGGTCTCTAAAATAAAACCTGACAAGTCTTCACCTTGGAATTATATGGTTGTATCTGCGTTCTGAATAATTTTGAGACATTGGGCATCAAAGGTTTGGCATTCCATAGCAAACAATACGTGTGTAAAATTTGTTTTTGTAAATAAAAATCTTAAAATGTAAACAACTTATAAAAATATCCCATAATATAAATAAGTTGTCATTAAATAAGAATATGTCAATAACTCAATTTTGACAAAAATGTCAGATATAACCTAATAATTCTAAGGTGAAGAAGTATCTATCTTCCTTTATCTATATCTTCTATCTTATCAAGACACTTCTATACAGCTTAAAGTGACATTTAAAGGCTTAACTAGGTTAATTAGGGTAACTAGGCAGGTTAAGGTAATTAGGCAAGTTATATATAATGATGGTTTGTTCTGTAGATTATTGGGAAAAAAATATAGCTTAAAGGGGCTAATAATTTTGTCCATAAAATGGTGTTTTAAAAATTAATAGCGGCTTTTATTCTAGCTGAAATAAAACAAATAAGACTTTTTCCAGAAGAAAAAATATTATCAGACACACAGTGAAAATTTCCTTGCTCTGTTACACATAATTTGGAAAATATAAAACAAAAAAGAAAAAAATTTGAAGGGGGCTAATAATTCTGACTTCAACTGTATATAAGAAAGACACTTCGATATAAATATATTGGGTTATAAGCATGTGCAAGTAATACGAAACGTTCACATATCTTTTGCGTTCGGTTATTTGAGATGTAGAAAGCAGGGAAAGTAGCCATTTAGAGAGAGCGACGGCATTTTAGCTTTCTCTGCAAAAGCATTACATCGCCTCTGTGGCCATGCACCTTCAGGTTTATGATCTCATCAACCCAAATGTATTTTTTTGTAGTTCCCAAACTTTGTTCGATGTAAGCTTTGCTAAGCTTACTCTATAAAGCCAATGTCTCCCTTTGCATTGAACTTAGAGCAATTTTACTTTTAGAAATGTTGTTAACGCAGCTACATTTGACAACAACTAAAGTTTAAAATATGATATCATAGTGGACCACTTTTTAAAAATAAAAATAAAACATTGGTAAGGAAATGCCATCATTTCACATATTCTTTGTTTATTGACATTTAGAAAATATTTCAAATGGTTTGTTCAAGTCTGTAATATAAACCAGGCTCAGTATAAAGATATTTTCATTGCTCACAATGTTTGGTAACAAATATTTCTAGTGTGCTAGCTTTTGTGTTTGCTATCAAAAGCTTTGTTTCCGAATGTGTACGTACTCTAACATATAAATGAAAAAGGGTGATTTTGAGGACAATGGCATCTGCCATTAAATAAACTGTCTCTGGATTAGATAACTGAGAGAGAGAGAAAAGCCATCAGATTGCAGTGTTAATATTACAAGCAGTCAGTATCGCATGCACACCAATACAAACCTTCCAGCTAGAGCCCAGAAGGAAAAATACAGTAATAATGCACAACAAAGCTATATTGCACGAAATATTACAGCAATAAAGTATTCAAAAAGAGCCATCATGAACTTGGAGTGAAACAAGAAGATGGCAAGACAGAAAGTGTACTGGATTATGATTGGGACATGAGGTGTGATATGTTTGCTGTCTAGAATTAGAAGCAAATGCTGAAAAATATAAACCCAGTGAGAGTAAATCAAAGAGCAGAGACTGCTGGATTTTAGTAAAGAGTCGTAAGGAACTCAAGATTATTAAAAAAAGAGGTTTAGGTTTGGAGTCAAATACCCAATTTCCAATGGTAGACAGACGTCACTTCGGGTCTTGGGAGAGCAAGGAAGGGGTGAAGGTACAGCCCTGCCCTTACAGTTCAAACTGTCAAATGAGATTCACATCAACAGACATTCAGCCAGAATCCCTGCTGTTGCTGCTGCTGCTGCTGTTTTTAAGCAGTGAAGTGAACAAAAAAGGCTAACAAAAAGGCCTTTGTATTTTTTGTTTTTTAATAAAAGCACAGGGATTTTAACGATGTAGGTTAAAGGGGTAGCTCACCCCAACATGAACATTTTTACTTAAAGGTTTAAAACCTGTTTGAGCTTCTTTATTCTGTTGAACACAAAAAAAGATACACTTAAAAAAAAAAAGTATTTTTAAAATGAGCTGAATCAACACAATTCCTGAGGTATTTTTGGAAAAACCTAAATTGTTCTAAGTTCAATTGACCTAAATGTGTAAGAACAATAAAGTAAAATTAACCAATTTGTGTTGGGACAACATGAAGGAATTATGTCAAACCCAACATTTTTTTACAGTGTATTTTGAAGAATGCTGGAAAACTGTAATCATTGACTTTCCATAGTATTTGTTTTTACTGCAACAGTCATTGGTTTTCAGCTTTCTTCAAAATATCTCTTTTAGTCTTCAACAGAATAAAGAAACTAATGAAGATTTGGATCACTTTAGTGTGAGTAAATAGTGAGTAAAGTTTCATTTTTGGAGGAGTGATCTATTCATTTATGATAAAACATGGTCATTAAAAAATGGTGCTTATTCACTGCTGTTCAAATAACATCACCACATTGTAAATTACATCTACTGATGTAATAAACATAATAGGGTTGTTGCGATACCATTAATTCATCTAACGATCCAAGACCAGCTGAAGTATTACGATACCAAGTAGTATTGCAATACTATAATTCATAACTCAAATTATAAAGAAATTTTTTAGAAATACTATATTTTACATGTTCTAACAGGTCTTGAATTTAATTCATAATTCCCCTATTATTGTAAAAAAGTATTATTTGCACATCACTTCACCTAAAGTTTGTTCTTTTTGTTTATTTTGTAGATAACTGACCAACAAAAAAATACCTTAAAATAAAGATACAAATTATACTAAATAAAATTTGTTACAAAAATAGCATTATTCTGAAAAAGAATAGGCTATATAAAGTGGTCAAAAATTGTTTCAATGTTGCTATTTTGGGTTTTTAGTCTATTGTTTTTTTTTTTCGGTCTTATCAGGTAACAATATAAAGTAATTCAAAATTTCACTCAGTGAGTCGTTCTTTTTAAGATATTGTCGCAGTTGTTGTAGCTACCAAATCATATTAAGAGAAACAGAAATCAACTGACAGATGTGTGCTTGAAACATAAAACATGAGAAAACTTGCAACCTTAAAGGGCTCCACAGATTATTAAAATAAAATGGTCTATTGTTGCATAAACAAGTGATCATTTAATTGATTTTTCCACATCCAACATTATCTATTGTAGATAGACCGTAAATGACCATACTACCCTTTACAAACTACAGTTGCACTGCCAGTATTTCGGAGCCATAGTATCGCGATACTACCATAGTACTGGCAAACTGTGTAACCCTAAAACATATATCTCTAAAATAATATGGAGACTTTATTAATGGATATGTAATATCCCAGTCTTTAACTGTAAACTGTAGACGATATATTTAATGTTCACGATGACAATGTTGATGAGATGAAGACCAATGACATCAGTGAAAACAACACATTTACAAAACATAACAGTGGAAACAACTAAGACACAAAGTTGGCAGTGAGAGGTTTATGGTGCAGTGAACTGGGATGGGAATTTAATAAGACATGACAATGGAAATGGCTAAAAATGCTTTACCCAGGTCTCCCTCTGAGCTCACACAGTACACTCTGCTGAGCAATAAAAGGATTAAGATGAGTCCTTCTGCCATTTCCAGGAACTAAAGAGAAACTGCACTTTTTGGCATTGGTCATTTGTTTATTTTAAGCGTATTAAATAGATTAGTATTATTATTTACACTTCCATATTGTATATGGTAGCTCCTCTAAAAGTAAGCTTTGCCATCACACAAATGAGATACATTCTAAAATACAATTAAATGTAAAAGTATTTATTGCGTAATACAGTAATATTGCAATAATTTTCTTTCAATGTTGTCATTTTTACTGTTTTGGATCAACCAAATGCAATCTTTCTAGTGTAAAGTGCAATATCATAATGATTTTCACAATATTACAATTTTTACTACTTTTGTTTCAAGCCTTGTATAGCCTCTGTCACACAGAAGGTTTTAAATGTTTTTTTAAAGGACACATCGTATAGTTTTAAGCAATAAAGTGTTAGTCTTAAGTAACCAGAGCAATTATTTAGATTACAGAATACTGATGTGACAAAATATAAGACTAATCAGTTATTTACTTACAGATACAGTGAATAAGACATGTGCCTTATGTCCTGTTTCCTTCAACCATTTCCAAATCTACAGCTCAGGCATATTTGGTGCTGTGCATGCTTACAAGACAATAATCTCTAATATTTCCAGAGATTTAGCAGTTATGTAAGTCATGAGCGCAGAGGAAGACAAACTGATTGATTGGATGCTGGTTTTCCACAGTGGCTGTAATTTCAGTGACGGCTATGCTTCGGAATTATGTGTAATCCAAGTACTAATCATTAGGGAATGAAAGGATGACATTGGTTATTTTCTGAAGTGTAACATTAACGGACGGCTGCAGCAATGGTTATGATCTGTTTCCCATATCTGAGTATGACAGTATGAATGTGTGTGTGTGTGTGTGTGTTTGCTTACCATGATAACCGAAACTCCAGCAGAAGTGTTGCTCTGTTTCTGCACAGAGTTAAAGTGCTTTTTGAGTTTACCTGCCACCTCCATCTTCATGTTGTTTTCCATTGCTGCATCCTCCTGTCAGAATATTGAAATTAATTAGGATAGGCCAATCTAATGCAAAGCAATTTAAGAACATTCTGACTAAATTGTAGGTTTTAAATATTGAAAAGCAGTGTGAAACAAATCAAAACCACTTCTAAAGCTTCATTCACAATATGAGCGACCTGTAGCAGCAAAGCGACTGTTCATTTCAACAGAGAGTTAGCAACAAGAGGCAGCGACCTTGGCAACTAGATGGCCATGTCAAGCAATGTGACAGTTGAGAATTATTCAACTTTATTCAAATGAAGAGCAAATTTTCTGAGGGCACCAGTAGAACTCACGTGAGCAGTTACAGTATGGACAGTTCTACACTTAAAATTTTTTACCGGAAATAGTAAACCACACCCGAACCTTTGGCATATGCTTTTCAACATACTACAATTTGTGACATACTAATTTTATTTTCAAATACTATTTAGGATGGATAGTATGCGAAATGGGGTGCAACAATAGTTTTGAATGGGGAAAAGTTTAACGGTCAATATAGCAAATGAAGTCCCACCTACTAGTACAGGAGCCAATCATCGATTGCTATAGACTAATGTAGAATCTCGGACCAGACGTGTGCTTTTACGACAATTTGGTGATCAACAAGCACACTGGAATCTCAGCGAATACTTGCTTCACACACATGAGAAATCTGTCCAGGTCAGTGCCAATAGCCTAGTGGTTAGTGCATCGACACACAGCATCCAGGTGCTCATGGCGACCTGAGTTCGATTCCTGCCTCGAGATCCATTGCGACCCTTCTCTGCTCTCCATACTTTCCTGTCTGTAAATTGCCACTGTCCTTTCACAATAAAGGTGAAAAAACCCTAAAAAACTGTTTTAAAAAAAAAGAGAAAAAAAGAAATACATCCAGATAAAGCTTGAAACCTCTGCTAACCTCTGCTATGTTAAACGAACCAAGTGCACAAAAGTTTTTTGGTTTTGTGATCTGTATGAAATGAACGTGAGGTGTAGTCTGTCCTGTCAAACGCACAAACACAATGTTCATAAATGAGGTTGGTGTCATGATGGTGTCGTTCTTTTCTAGTGTGCATGCAGATTAGCTCGGGCAATCTGCAAAGATGGTGACTTTTGTTTGATTTGGACGTTTAGAAATGCAACTTATGAGACAGTTGTTGTTTAATTTTATTGGTTGTTCCAAATATGTAATGTAATTGGAAGCTTGGCAAACAGTTATGGAGATTTTAATGTTTCTCCATTCAGACAAAATGCCCGAGCATGCTGCCCGAGAGGCATTCAAAGAGGGCTGCAGAGTGAAATGACTTGCCTTAAAGAGACTTTGATTCCTCCATGCAGTAGACCAATTGCATCAGGTCGCCACCCAGAGTGACAGACCTCTAAAAAGTCACTGCTAAGGTAAATGAGGCATAACACAGAAGACTAGAGCCATGAGATGTCATTGTGTACCCCCAGTGGGTGAAATTTACCCATTTTAATGGCAAAAAAAAGGATTATGTCATAGTATAATGCCACTGTCTTTTACAATACAAGGGTGTTGCCATTATTTCAAAAGTGGAGGAGGTAGAATGTTAAACTCATTTTTTTTTATTATGCCTTTTTTCTCACTGAGGCAGTACCCATAAAAGAGTAGCTTTCACAGCAAGCTAGGGCATGACTGACACCTGAGTGACTGACTGCCATGAAAATTTGATCATCATAGACTATAGGTGCATCTGAAATCTTACCTTATTACCTACTATATATGTGAAAAACAGTAGTGAGTCGAATTTTTAGTATTTGGAAAAACAGCAGATAAGAAGTACCTGGATGACCTACTGGCTTACTTTTGGCGAGTTTCTAAAGTGTGCATCCAATAGAAACTTTATTATCCCATGAGGCTACGCGAAAGAATTTATGAATGGGAGTGAAGCAATGCAACTGACTCGGGTAGGTCATGTGATAATGATAAATGGCAGATGCAGTGTGTTCGAATAGACTTACATTTATACTATATATACCATAGGTCTCAAAGTTGATTCCTGGAGGGCTGCAGCTCTGCACAGTTTTGCTCCAACCCTAATCAAGCACAGCTGATCCAACTACTCAAAGTGTTCAAAACTACTAGAGACTATTAAGCAGGTGTGAGTTGGAGGTGGTTGGAGCTAAACTATGCAGAGCTGCGGCCCTCCAGGAATTAAGTTTGAGACCATTGATATAACACATACTTTTTTTTAATGGTTGTGAAGTGAATTCAAACTGACATGTAGTACCTACACAGACAACATGTCATTTCAGACATAGCCTATTCTTTGATTTTTAAATCATTCTAATTTAAACACTGTTTCAAGAAAACCCCAACATATTTTACCGTGAAAAGGTGCAGGGGGAACATGTTCTGCATGTACCATGCATGTTCTATGCACGAACTAATATCTACTCTAGAATGATGAAATTTTTATTTTTTACTCATGATCTATGATGCTCAGCCTGACCCACGATGCACCACGTACCCCTAAAACAAACCCAGCTAAGCAGGTGAAATGTTAGCAATATAGAATGCTAAAACATAATTGGCGCAAAAGCATTAAGAAAAGCACTGTATTAATACATTTGATTTGTTGGCAGTTATCCGTAGCTATAAATGCCCTGCTTTATATTTGGATTAATCTAAACATGGATTTGGGTCAAATTCAGTAACTGAGAGAATTGGATATTTTGTAAAAAATCTGTTATGTACATTTGAAAAGAGCCATGGGTAAATTTGACTCTGTTTCAGTTTTAGTGTGTGAGCAAAATTCCCTATGACCATTCATGCTGCTCAAATCGCTAAAATGCATTTAGGTACATCGAAATCTGCTGCTGTATTGTAGCATAATATGCGCGTTACCAAAGCCAACAATAATGACACCACATCCCACATTTACAGCACCAAGAGCTTTAACACAGACTTACTGTGACCCAGGGGTGAGAGAGCACATCTTCCGCTGTGTATCTGGCCTCCACATTCACCTGCAGCATGTGACCAATCAACTCCTGTGAACACATCAGATCTTCAATAATTACATCTTTATTACAACAAAATTCCATCCATCCATCCATCCATCCATCCATCCATCCATCCATCCATCCATCCATCCATCCATCCATCCATCCATCCATCCATCCATCCATCCATCCATCCATCCATCCATCCATCTATCTATCTATCTATCTATCTATCTATCTATCTATCTATCTATCTATCTATCTATCTATCTATCTATCTATCTATCTATCTATCTATCTATCTATGGAATCCATCCATCTATCCATCCATCCATCCATCCATCCATCCATCCATCCATCCATCCATCCATCCATCCATCCATCCATCCATCCATCCATCCATCTATCTATCTATCTATCTATCTATCTATCTATCTATCTATCTATCTATCTATCTATGGAATCCATCCATCTATCCATCCATCCGCCCGCCCATCCATCCATCCATCCATCCATCCATCCATCCATCCATCCATCCATCCATCCATCCATCCATCCATCCATCCATCCATCCATCCATCCATCCATCCATCCATCTAATTATCTATCTATCTATCTATCTATCTATCTATCTATCTATCTATCTATCTATCTATCTATCTATGGAATCCATCCATCTATCCATCCATCCATCCATCCATCCATCCATCCATCCATCCATCCATCCATCCATCCATCCATCCATCTATCTATCTATCTATCTATCTATCTATCTATCTATCTATCTATCTATCTATCTATCTATCTATCTATCTATCTATCTATCTATCTATCTATCTATCTATCTATCTATGGAATCCATCCATCTATCCATCCATCCGCCCGCCCATCCATCCATCCATCCATCCATCCATCCATCCATCCATCCATCCATCCATCCATCCATCCATCCATCCATCCATCCATCCATCCATCCATCCATCGATCTATCTATCTATCTATCTATCTATCTATCTATCTATCTATCTATCTATCTATCTATCTATCTATCTATCTATCTATCTATCTATCTATCTATCTATCTATCTATCTATCTATCTATCTATCTATCTATGGAATCCATCTGTCCGTCCATCCATCAATATGTTTAATTGTCTATCTGTCTGTCTGTGAGAAAGACATATATATTATAATTTAAGATGTATGCTGATAAGTATTATGAACTTAATCTCTAAATGTTACTTCTGTTGTTACTTTTGTCCTTTCCTACTCCAAAAACGCAACCTAATCATGACAGAAATGACATTATATATGGAAAACCTACCACACTAAACCTACGAGTTGGTACACAAGACTTGCACGCACAGCAAAAATTCTGGCATTCAGTGCAGACAAAGGTTTTAGAACATTAGCATGCAAGAACTCTAAAGCGGAGACTGAGAGAGAGGGAGGTGAACGAGATGATGATGTGAGTAGGATCAAAGGAAGAATACAGAATAAAGAATTGGGTATGTTAAGGAAATCTATGTTTGCACCCACTTTAGCAGAATCAGAGATATTGTCCCAGAATGGTGAGGGGAACTCTAAATGCCCCAGCAGGATCTGATCAAATAGGTCCTCCTGTAGATTATTCTCACTAAAAAAACAAACACAAATACACCAATCACACACACAAACAAAATAGGTATATGTATAATAAATGCAGAGAACAGTCCACTAAAATTAATAAATGTATTAAATAATAGTTAAAAAAAATCTGTCATTTTTTTACATAGCCTGGTTTTGTTCCAATGCCAAATGTTCTTCTTTCTTTTATAATAGTCAACAGCGAAATGTATTTAGCTTCTTAAAATATATAAAAGCATGAATAAATGATCCAGTATATCACAAGTGTTCAGGACAAATGGTTTGCTGGAAAACAAACCCCCAAAAATTAATATATTATTAAACTAAAATTGTGAGTTTTTCTCTTCACAATTGCCACAATTGAGTGTTATCGTTGAAACTGTGTCCTGCCATGAAAAAGCACACAAGTGACCAATCTGAAGCATCAGTTAATAATATATGAATTAGAGCTTAGAAATCCTCATTAAAAGTATCCATGTAGTTTCTTTACTGATACGTTGCTCACAATTTACAATAAGATTTCATAATATATTTACTAACATGAGCTACGTATGAAGAATACGTGTACAGCATTTATTAACCACAGCTCAACATTTCTTAACGCATTACTAACATCAAAAGTCATGCTTACTAACAGTTAATGCACCATAAGTTGACATGAACTAATGTAAGCTAACATGAACAAATAATGTAATAAACGTATTGTTCATTGTTTATGTTAGTAAATGTAATACTTAGCATTAACTAATATAATCTTATTGTAAAGTTTACCGATATTTTCTTTGAGTTCATTTTTAAATTTTGTAATTGAGCAATTTTGTTCTAATAAAACCAATATAACTTTAGTACCCTGACTAAAATGTGTATATATTTTAATAAAATTGTATTTAAATGACCATAACAGTCAAATTGGTCACATGAATTTCAAGTTCAGCTTCTTCTTCCTATGCCTTTGAATATACGTGCCTATGTTGACTAGCAACTTTCTGCTAACGTAAACATAATTTCTTATAGCAAAATCATAACTTTACTTCAGACATGTTTTTCAAACTTTCACAAACAACTTACTTTTGTCAGACAAAGCAAAGGATGCAGTACACACTTTCAGCAGGCAGTTTAACTCATATACAATTATAAATTATAATACAAAAAGAATTGTAATTTCAAAGCAATATCTTCATAAAATATGACAAGCTTAATTATTAATTATCCATTTAAGCTTTGAATGTAAATATGAATTGACAAAATGTATTTCTGGTAATGTCAGGGCAGTCAGAAAGGCCATTCTAGTAGTTATAGAATTCTGGTAGTTCTAGAGTTAAAGGGGACCTATTATGTTATTATGCGAAAATCACTTTTATAAGGGGTTTAAACACAGTTGTCTGCAAACATAACCAGCTTCTAATGATAAAAAAAAAATGTTTTAATCTTATTTTTTAAAATTGCACTTCATAAAAACACTCTACAGAAACACTGTCATCAGACGTATGTGTACATGTCATCAGAGGAGAAGAGCCCCGCCCATTATCTCATTTGAATTTAAAGTGACAGTCACCACATTGCCCCTTTCACTAAAATTGGAGTTATAACACATTACTACTGTGGTTATTGTGAGCTGAATCGTTACATTTACACTCTAGGGACATCAGAGATTATATATCTTGATAAAAGAGGCATAATAGGTCCCTTTTAAAGCTTTTTAAAATAGATAAGGAGAAGTTGGAAATCTTTGGTAAGTTTCTTGTTTGTGTTACAGCTTTGCCAGCTCCGTTTTGTTTTAATGTTGTTTGTGGCAGAACTGTGACACTGCTCCAGTCTTGTATTTTTTTAGCACTCGTTTTTTAGCACTCGCTTTTTCCATGTGTTCTTCTGTCTTGTAATTTCCGCCCTTCTTGTTATCCAATTATTGATTCATTAGCTACACCTGTTTAGTTGTGACTAGTTTGTCTTCCTTTTATGCCCTGTACTTAAAAAAAAAATATTTGCTGTTTGTTCAAAAACTTATTTAAAATGGGACAAAACAAAACAAATCTTAAGTTATTTTTTAAGGGTGCAACGTAATTGTTTTATGCTCAATCTACTTAAATTTGTAAAAACGAATAAGTTAACTTAATTTCTTCATGCTGCCCCAACACAAATCGATTTGTGTGGAACCCAGCATTTTTTTTTGTGTGTTGAAGCTACTTCATTTTATGTTGCTATGTTCCTGATGCTTTTGATTAATGTTTTGCTTTAAAAGTGATGCTTAGATTTAGCTATGTTCCCCCCTTCTGAGATTATTCATCTTTGTCTTGTTTTGTTTATAATAAACACCTTATTTGATCAAGCATCTGGATCATCACTTTCATTTATTTACTATTGAAGTGTGGTTGTGACAGTTCACTGTAAAAAATGGAGAGTTCCACACAATTCCTTCATGTTGTCCCAACACAAATCGATTAAGTTAACTTAATCAGTTTTACAAATTTAAATAGTTTGAACATAAAACAAATAGCTTTTTTTTTTTACTCATTAATTGTGTTCATTGAGCTCATTTTAAATAAGTAGTAAAAAAAAAAGCAATTTTATATTGATTGTTTGTGGTATAACAAAAAAGTAGGGCATACTGCATTGGAACAACACCAGTGTGATTAAATAGTGACTCACTTTTTATTTTAGTGTGAGCTGTCGCTTTAACGTGAATGACAGAGCATTTTTTTAATGTTGTGATACCTGCGGAAAGGTGGGAAGCCACACAGTAGGATGTAAGTAATCACTCCAGCTGCCCAGATGTCCACTTTCAGCCCGTAGCTGTGGCAAATCCCAGACAGAAAATCACAGTTAATAACATTCATCCTCCAGCATGCTTCAAAGAAAACAAATGTTAAAAACTAAGTAATCAATGATTCTTACCCTGACTCAGCTATGATTTCCGGGGCAACATAAGTCGGTGTTCCACAAACAGTGTACAGCGGCCCTTCAACCACTGTCGCCAAGCCAAAATCCCCCAACTTCAAAGACTTTGTACCATTAGGGTACTCACACACCTGCAATACACATTGCAAAAGAGGCAAAACATTTATTTTTATCTGTTAGGACTGGCATGTTTTCCTCTAAATATGTTTTTTTCATGTTCAAAGTTTGGCAGTTCATTCCGCTGTAGCAATCCCAGATTAATAAAGGAACTAAGCTGGAAAGAAAACGAATGAATGAATGTTCAAAGTTTGTAAACCAATGTATGCTCAGATGTGTTGTCTCTGTACATCTATAATTACACTGAATATTTAAAGGGATAGTTCACCCATTACAGTGGTTCTAAAGTTTATTTCTTCTATTGAACTCAAACCAAGATATTCTGAAGAATGTTGGAAACCAGCCTTTACTGACATCTATACTGAAGTAGGAAAAAAATACTATGGAGGTTGATGGCTGCTGCTTTCCAACATCTTATTTTGTGTTCAACAGATGAAAGAAAGTCAAACAAAAGGATGACTAAATGATGGCAGAATTTTCATTTTGTGGTGAATAATTTATTTAATGTCCTATTAAAGGGTGTATTAGTGTTAAAAGTCCCGTGAAGAGCTTTGAAATGTGATTTTTATTCGATGTTTGACATAGGTCCAATCCCAATTCTACCCCTTAGCCCTCCCCTTAGCCCTACCCCTCGTTTTGCGTGTTCACGTCAAGGATATCAACTCTTTTTAGCTTGAAGGCATAGAGCTAAAAGCAAGGGGTTTTAATAGCCCTTCAAGCGTAGATTTTACACAACCACAATCGAAACTAAACGGGTAAGAAAATTTCCTAGAATACACCAGCCACGATGACAGTATTGCTGAACCCGGAAGTAAGAAGATCCACAAATTAGTATTTTTTGTCATTATTACAAATTGTTACGACAAACAAACATATGTTTGTAATATATTCATAGCTGCGTGCATTTTTTACCATCATGCTTTAAAAAAAAAAAAAAACATTTAAAAAACCTAGCTAAATTTCGCAATCTATAATCCATAGCTCCTGTATAGCAGTCCCACAACATTCTGACACAAAAATAGAATTGGGATTGGGCCGTAATCTCAACCAGAAACATAAAGAAGGTAGGACGTAGTGAAGCTCCTCCCCTTTAAAAAAAAACAGCCAATTGTTTCTTGTTTTATCACAGCACTGCTAGTGAGAGTGGATGAGCACAAGTGCATCAAATGTAAAGCATCTTGAAGGGGGCACGGCATGTCAGATACTAGAGAGCATTTGATTGCTCACAATTTGATAAGCAACTGAAGTAGGAGGTGACCTAAAAAAAACAGTGATCTATTTAAGCAGAAATGACAAACTACAAGATTTACATTATTATATTGGTTTTATATCTTGTAAACTCACATTTTGTTTGTGTTTTGGTGCACACTAGCTTATAGATATCCTAAAAGCTAACAAATCTGATGCTAACATCTAAAATAATTTATTTTAATTACATAGGACCTTTAAGTGTATGTGTGCGTACCAGTAAATTTTCAGGTTTGATGTCTCGATGAACGATGCACATTCTGTGTAGATATTTGAGAGCTGCTGCCAGGTCAAACACCATCACGCTGGCATCTTTTTCAGTGTATTTGGTTGAGGAGGTGATTGCATCAAACAGATCTCCACCCTGAAACACAAAGACAGCAAGATAGTAACTAAACATTCCTGACACTACAATAAGAACAAAAAAAACGTACAATTTTTAAAAGGATGCATGGCACCCATGCCCAGCCCTAAACACCATCAAATCGTAGTAAATTGTATGAATGATATTGTATGATTTCATATGAATTAGCCACTAAATCAAAACATTACAAACTGCCGTGAGATATCATAGGTATGTTCAGTAAGTTTACTTAAATGACTATTAATAGGATCTTTTAATTGCCTATAAAGTAAAATAACTAAACATAAGTACAATATTTCAGATGGCAGTTAGAGTCTTTTGCATCTGAACTCTTCATACGGTGAAAATGTATGTGTTTGTGTGTGTGCTTACATTATAAGAGGTGACAGACAAACATTACCTTCACAAGTTCCATGACCAGATAGAGCTCAGCAGGCGTATCCACCTCCTCAATCAGCATGATGATGTTAGGATGTTTAACTCGCCTCAGCACTGCCACCTCATTCTCAATCAGGTGCTCCTGTGTGTTCAAAACATCTGTCATAACTAATTCACAAGCGTACAGCAGCTCTCAGCAGCTTGTCTTTAGATGCTCAGTCATAAATCCACATGAATTCCTGTGGTTTGCTCTTGCAGGAAACAAGGCAAACAGGAAACTAACATCCTCGGTTAAAGCACAGGCTAAAACTAAATCAAGAGACACTGGCCGACAGTATAACTAACTGCTGTTTACATTCCATTATACACAAGGCCACAAATATGATGATACTCCCTCTTAATTAGCAGGTTTTACAATTCTAGTGAAAACAAATCATAGTTTAAAAGAATACAATGACATTCAGAGATTTTGGTAACCGTTTGGGCAGAGAGGTTTCCATTGCAGAGCTAGCCAGGTAGCTAGCAACAGGGTTTCTGCAGGTTTCACCAAGTAAAATGTAAGACTTTTTAAGACCTTTTTAAGACCATGAAGAATGAAATTTTAAACTTTTAAACCCTACTACGCTAGTTTAAGATTAAGATTAACGCTTAAGATTTTTTTATGGCCTATGGTTGTTTCTTAGCCACATATCTGAAATAATGCAGACCTTTGTTTTCTCAACATAACTTGAAAAAAAAAAAACTCTTTAAAAACTAAATGTATTTACAACAGACTTTCATACTATTAGTCATGAACAGTTTTGAGATGTACTGGGTGAACTGGAATGGATGCGTGTTGTGTCGATTTGGTATAGCTTTAAATAAACAAAGGAAAATCAGGATTCCTTTAAAATAATTTACAATATTTCAGTGAATTTAAGACTTTTTAAGACCTAAAATTTTGCTTTTGAAAGTAAAGACATTTTAAGACTTTTTAAGACCTCACGGACACCCTGTAGCAAGCTAAAATAAAATTAAAATAAAAAAAATAAATAAAATATAATAAAATAAAATAAAAAATAAAGTAAAATAAAATAAAAAATAAAATAAAGAAAAATATATAAAAAAGTAAAAAAAAAAAATAAATAAATAAATAAAAAGAAAATAAGAAATAAAGCAAAATATAATTTAGAAAAATGTAAAAAGTAAGTAAATAAATAAACAAATAAATAAAAGTAAAATTAAAAAAATAAATAAAATAAAATAAAATAAAATAAAATAAAATCTTGAAATTTTTTAGCCCTCCTGTTACCTTAAAAATGACCAGGTGCAATTTTAACAGCAGACAAAGACTTTTGGTGAGTTTTTATAAAATGAGCCCATATTTTCATAAAGGCTGTTCACGTTTAGGGTACAACAGTTGTCCTTCAGGTAAATTTTGACCAGCCAGTTATAAAACCCTTTTACACCACAAAAACTATAGTGGCACACACATGCACACTCCTTCCAGATTCGTACACACTACAAAAGTTTGCTGTTTAATGTTTATGAATACTGTCTTGCTAAAAACATATGCAGGTACTTTTAGCAATAGCAAAATTTACAATTTACTTTAGTGAAAAACGAGTGTTGTCCACTCAATAAACACTGATAAAACACTCCACACTGATAAGAAAAAACTTATACATTCAAAGAGTTTATGATGCAAACGAAGCGGTTTCTTCATGCAAAATATTCATGAGGATTGAAATTAAATTTTAATGCTTTATTTCAGAGATTTAGTGAAGGCGGGTTATTTTTGGACAGGAGAATTAACCCAATGTATGATAAGATGAGGGAGATATGGCCCAAAAGCAGCAGAGCCTTTAATATTAACAATTTATCACTAATTAAGTTAGCTTATAAATAGCAATATATAGAGTATAGAAACATTTTATTGTAAGGAAAAATTAGATTTATTTAACCCCACTGACAATTTTGTAAACATTCTCTTCTTAATTAAAAATATCATGATTTAAAGTAATATTAGGAAAATGATTGACTGACTGATTGAATGTGTCTGAATGGAAGCAAACCCATAGTTCAAATAAATGTGGAAAGCATTATCAGAAGAATATAAGTTCCACTAAAACCAACTCTGGATTTATTTAAATGATTTTGACATTAAATGTTCAACAAACACATCTGTATGATAGTGATTTTCATGTAGTCTTGATGATATAGCACATCTAAATCACAGAGATTCTTGGTTAGATCAGTAAATGTTCTCAAAAGCATTGAAACTTATGCACTGATTGCATTTTGGTTGCTTGCATTGTTTCAGATTGTTTCGGATAAGTGACATTGAATAAAACAGAATCTAATCAGCCTTATTAAATTAACCAAAATTTCCACAGAGCATTGATACGCTTATGCTTAAGATTATAATATAATATGTATACACACATTACTAATTATTAGACTGCAAAATCAGTTTCACAGTCAGTACGGAATATTTATGCTTGCATGGCATTTTCTGAATTTGACCTTTATTAATTATTGGGAAAAAAAACTCACTTTGCCTCTGCATTTGTTTTTATCGATGATCTTCAGTGCAAACTCCTTTCCAGTGGATCTGTGTACAGAAAGAGAACAATAGTCTTTGTTTTAGCGAGGTTAATGAAGGTCTGTTTTGAGTGCATTCAGAGCCTCGGGAACAATTTCCGAGGTTGATGTGCTTTCAGTGCACAAGAGATCCTGCTTTGAACCTTTTAGCCTAAAAATAAAAACAAGAAAATTACAGAAGCTTTCCCAGAAAATGTGCTTCCACCAATATTTTTTGCAAATCTGCAAACTCCAGTCCAAACACACTTCGATAGATACATACAATTTAATAGAGTTTTCAGCTGAAATGCACAGGTAATATAATTAAGATTACAGCACATATATTAATCAAGACAACATTAAGCTTTTAGCTCTTTCTCTTTTCAGACAGCTTTTCACTTCCTTTCAGATTGAATTCAATGATTGGAGGAAAATGTTATGGTCCTGGTGCTTTTTAAACATGCTATTTAACACCACTTCACTAAAAACACTACTAAAAAAGTTAGTTATTGGATTAACAGCACCTACGAGCCATATAATGGGTCTCTTAAAGATTGTGCCCCCATTTCTCTGTTTGGCTATAAAGGCTTGAGGGCATCCTTACACTTAATTCCTGTCCCATCGGAAATAAAGATAGCATGTTAAATTTTAACTACATTTATGTGGCCATCTTCCAGCCTCCGCCATGGTGACTGAAGCTCTGTACAAGACTTTTGGCCAGCGGAGAAATTAAAATGGTCGTGCCCAACTGAGTCTGGTTCTCTCAAGGTTTTTTTTCTTCACTCCTATCAGGTGAAGTTTTTTTTCCCTCTCCGCTGTCGCCACTGGCTCGCATGGTTCAGAATTGGTAGAGCTACGCATCGATGAATTTGCTCTTCAGTGTTTGAACTCTCAGTAATGATTTTAAATCACACTGAACTGAGCTAAACTGAAATGAACTGAATTTAAACACTAAAAACTGAACTACACTGTTCCAGTTACTATGACCATTTATGTGAAGCTGCTTTGACACAGTCTACATTGTAAAAGCGCTATACAAATAAAGCTGAATTGAATTAGGCAATAGGCCACTAGAAATATACGCATCTGATTATTTTACTTATTTCGAATTGACATAACAAACATCTCTGTTTGCTCAACAATCTTAAGCAGTGTAAATGTTTTCAGCATCTATAACAACAACAACAGAAGTCACATTGAAAGTTGACATTTTTCTTTTTGTGCTTTAGCTTAAGATGCTAAGCTTAAGTCAGATACCACATGACATGTTTAAAACACTTTTATGCACTTTCATCATTGTTTTCTTTAAGCTAATGTGAAATTCACTGAAATACCACAATATAGTTGAGATTTAACCTATTCCGGTAAACAAATTAATGAGAGAAGAAAAAAAGGCAAGCCTCAAGTCCTTCCAGAGTTTCCTACCAAAAGATGTGACATCATTTCTACCAGTGCAAACTGTTATGGCTTTTTATAACTGATGTAGCAGAGTTAATAATACAGAATAAACAGAAAATAAAGGCGTTGCGGTAGCACAGTGAGTATCACTGTCACCTCACAGCAAAAAAGTCCCTGGTTCAAGCTTGGTCAGTTGGCATTTCTGTGTGGAATTTGCATGTTATCCCTGTGTTCGCATGGGTTTCCTCTGGGTGCTCCGTTTTCTCCCACAATTCCAAAGAGATGCGGTATAGGTGAATTGGGTAAGCTAAATTGTCCATAATGTATGTGTGTGAATGAGAGTGTATGGTTGTTTCCTAGTGATGGGGTTGCAGCTGGAAGGGCATCTGCTGCGTAAAACATATGCTGGATAAGTTGGCGGTTCATTCTGCTGTGGTGATCTCTGATTAATAAAGGGACTAAGCCAAATAGAAAATGAATGAATGAATGAATGAATACAGAAAATGTATGCTTCGTGCAAAGTTTAACTAAGAGTAAACACACAGAAAAAAAAAACTTAGACTTATTTCATGATAATTAAAGCTGAAGGTAAGATTCAGGAAGCAGAGACAATCACAAAAGAGTTTAGTGAGACTCTTTAAGGTGATGGGCCCAATATCATACACCCAGAGCAATAAGGCGCAAGGCGTGTTTGGCACGATTTGTTGCTATTTCAGACCACCGCAACGGTAATTTTCACGTTCTGCATCACGTTGTTTAAATAGCAAATCCATTTGCACCACTTTGTGGTCTCATGGGTGTGCTGGTCTAAAAAGAAGGTGTGTTAAGGCGCATTGTTGGTGCGTTGCTATTTTGAGGAATTGAAATAGACAGCGCCATTGACAAACTAAAAGCTGGTCTAAATTCCAGCGCAGAGCGCGTTAGTTATGCGCCTACAGTATGTAAAAGGAAACCTATTTTGAGTAATAACAATGTTCTGCATGTGGTGGCAGATTGTCTAATATTAGTAACCTAGCTTATAATAGATAATCATTTTTGATAAAGCAAGTTATACTGCAATCAGGTGATGTGGTGCATCAGCTCGATAACCTTAATATTATTTTGTAGTGTGTGCTGTGCTGTGGTTTTCAGTGTGCGCACGTTTAAGATCTGAGGTAATAACATCGCCATTATATAAATCGAAACATACTTTTCCTGCCAAAGCAATTTAATAGGGCACTATAAAGGCTAAAGAACTTAAATCTTATATTTGCTTAATTTTTGCAGCCTAGGGCTGTACTTCTCACCATGTTTCGTATCTTTTCTACAGTATAGTGTAAAAGCATGTTTATTAGGAAGAAAACTAAAACAAACACACAAAATTACTTTTTAATTGAACACATCACATATGGTACAGTACACATACAGTACAATCCCATCCTTGTGAAAAGACAAAGCTAAAAATCTATGGTAAAAGTGCAACCCAGCGGCCAAAAGCTGCTGGCGTATGTAGGTACCTCTGCGGCGGCATCAAGAATGACGGCAGACCGACCTTTTTGAAGTAGTGACATCTGTATGTGCATCCAAACACATACACATTGCTTAATACACACAGGATGTACAGCAATTCACAAATATCTTAACATATTTAAAAAAAAAATTATTAAAATGTTAAAATTTTTTTTTTTTTACAAAAATATAATAACCACTACTTCCATGCCTTCTTTACCTCCGGGGAATTTTTTTTTAAAGTTTATTCATGACAATTTGCATTAGTATGTTATTATTATTTGTAGTATTATTTACTACATACATCATTCATTCATTCATTCATTCATACATTCATTAACTTATCCAGCATATGTTTTACGCAGCGGATGCCCTTTCAGCTGCAATCTATCACTGGGAAACACCCACACACACATTCACACATATACACTAAAGACAATTTAGCTCACCCAATTCACCTGTACCGCATGTCTTTGGACTTGTGGTGGAAACCGGAGCGCCCAGAGGAAACCCATGCGAACATGAGGAGAACATACAAACTCCACACAGAATCACCAACTGACCCAGGCGAGGCTCGAACCAGCAACCTTCTTGCTGTTAGGCAATTGTGTTACCCACTGAAACACTATGACCCCCTATTATATGCACATTTATATTTGTTTTTATTAAAAATAAGCTTAGACTTGTCTACCTGTAGGGTTTTGGAGAGATATACATCCCCATATGGGGCATAAGAATAGGATATATCCAAATGTGTTTTTGATATAGCTCGGTTTTTTGACCACAGTTTTGGTATTATTGTTCATTTATTCGTTTCCTGGAAAATAAAACTAAAATTAGAAATAGTTTTAAAATAAACCTTTGCACTTAACAAACTAAATTAAATATGTAGGCTAATGGATGCCTTCAGTGGAGTGCGTACAACATTGTGTCCTTATCCACGAAAATAAAGGAGTAAAGTAAAGAGCAAAATTAAAGTAAAGAAAAAATAAAGAGGCCGAATGAAGGAGGCTCATTCTTTACTCTAGTGCTGCAAAATTTCCCACATACAAATATTATTTTTAGAGACAGCTCAGCTTTGTGTTATTATTCAAACTGTTTCATTTAAGTTTTTGAAAAATTATAACATATCTATCTTAAAGATGCCAAATGTACTGGTTTCTTCAAAAATATTTTTATATGACCATTCAGGAATTTTAACCCAAGTATGTTACAGACATTTTAATAAAATCCTTAATAAATATATGGCAAAATTGCCATCAAATATCTTCAAGTCTTCAATGAATGATATTCTTACCGTTCAACACATTCCTTCACCACAGCAAAGTTTCCATCACCGATAACTTTGCCAATTTTGTACTTGTCCAAAATAGTGGAAGCAGCAAGGTTCCTGTTTCCGTTAACTAAAATAAAAAGCCAAAGCAGATTAAACATATCAGCCTGAAACACATCACATGATCATATTTATATCTTTTGACCAATATACAACAGAGGGTATTTCATTAAACCCTCAAACAAAAGTTCGGCTACAACATTCTTATCCAGCAATTCAGATTTGGTTGCTGCACTATGCAGACAAACAGCTGAAGGTCATTGTGACTCATGCTGAGCTGGGACGTTTGCTCATACTCTGCTACCCCAGTGTGTGAATGTGTAGGAGAGAGCCTGATAAAATGTGGCACAGAGTGGTATGTGTCAGCGCTTTCACCGCCAAAACCTGTCATGCCCCTCAAATGCCCTTTGGGGACTTTTGGGCCTGAAAAACACCACGATACGAGGCGAGGTGAGTGAAAGACTGTGATTATTAGTGGATGGACGTTTACCTTCAGGGCTCAAGCTGTTGTTATGATGCTGAGGCGTCTCAGAGGAGCCGTTCACATTGCCTGCGGAGGAGTGATGTGTCGGAATCTAAAAAGAAACACTAGATTAGTTAAAAAAATATTATAACATTTTAAAGCACCATTGGCATTTTGTTAAAAGTTGAAGTTAAAATGATTGCCCCTTCTGTGAAATCTGATTTTTAAAAATTATTTCCCAAATGCTTTTTTAATGTAAATATTTGAAAACATTACAGATCTAATAACTAATTCCTAATAACTAATTTATTTTAGTACTTGCCATGATGACAGAACACAACATTGTTAGGTATGTTTGGTTATTGTTCTGTATATTGTTAGTTATAATTACATTGTTGGTGTTCTGTATATTGTTAGTTATCATTGTTAGTTAACTAACATATTTTGTTATTTTGCAAGATACTATTCTACTTAAAGTCCACATTAAATGTTATTTTACTTTTTAAAAAGTTCATTAGGATATTAGGTGGCAATTCCGGTTAATTATGCAAGTTATGACTGCATATCTGTGGTTTGACCTGTAGCCAATTAAGAATCACACACACACACAGACACACGCACGCATGCACGCACGCACGCACGCACGCACACACACACACGCACACTCACACTCACACACACACACACTACAGGTCAAAAGTTTGCGGTTATTTTATTTTATTTTTTTCTTTTAAGAAAAAAAAAAATGTCCATCAAGGTGGCATTTATTAAATGTAATATTTTTTTAAAAGTTCAATTGTTCAATATTTATAAACATTTTAAATAACTGCTTTCTAATTGTATGTAGTTTTAAATGAAATGATTACTCCAGTCATTATTGCTTTCATTACTACTACTACTACTACTACTAATACTACTACTAATAATAATTAATATTAGAGTGAGTTCTGAAGGATCATGTGACTCTGAAGACTGGAGTAATGAAGCATTAATCTTTAAAATCACTATAATAAACTATTAAATTAATTATAAACTACTTTTGAACAGTTTCACAGAAGGGCTAATAATTGTGCTTTCACCTGTATATAGTGACATGTAGGGCTGGGTAATATAGCTAAAATGTATGACCTTTATGAATGAAATTAATGAAAAGTGATTTTTTTTTCTGAGAACACAAATCCTTAATTTAACTAAACATCAGATGAATTTAAGCATATATAAAACATGTTAAGACATAAAGGTATTTCACCACCACAGGCATGAGTAGATTATTGGAAGATCAGTATTTTTCAATAAATAGTTTTTACATTTTGTTACCAGTCAGTTTAAAATAACAGACTGCTCTTTTTTTTTTTGCATAATCAAATACAGAAAAATACACAATTTATATATTTTATACCCAATAATTAAGATATAAAGATTTTTTATTAGATTTTTATATTATTATTATTATAAATATTATTATTTATTTATTTTTTTAAATTCACTAATATTCAAAACGTTTTAGTCAGGACGTTTTTATACTTTTTTTTTCCAGCAAGGACAATACTAGAACATCAAAAGGACAAAAACAATATATATTTCTTCATTTAAATGATAAATGCTCAGATTTGTAAATTACTTTACATTATTTTTAATAAAAGTAAATGTTTCTGTGTCTTAAACATTTATTTAATTGAAATTCCCAGTTTAATATTACCCAGCCCTAATAGAAAACAAAGCACTACAAACTATAGCAGCTATGCAATTATACAAAACCTTATCAAGAAAGCATAATGTCTTTTTAACATAAATATAATACTATTTGAAATTAACCCTTTAACTGGAATTATAACCACATTTTGTCCAACTTAATTAAAACAGAAAACTCAACAAACAACACAAACTAAAAAGAAAATGGCAACAATAATGCCAGGAACACAATTCAACCAAAGAAATTGATAGTTAAAAAAATTGAAGAGGAAGTTAAAGGGTTAAGCATCATCTTTATTGAAATAAATGATTGATGAGGAGGCAAAGAGAGCCAAGCTGCGTATGACTGGCACACAAACTAATGGACCTGCTCTAAAAAAAAAAAAGGTCTGGCAATCAGTACGATTAAAAAGCCTGCATGTTTTCTTAATTCAGCAGCCAAATAAGGGATTAAACCGAAGTGACACTGACACGTGAGAGAAAGCCTAAGTAAGCAAATGGAGAAAATTGGCAGCCTGGTTAAAGCTGGTTTAATAAAGGCTACAGGATTTCTCTAGGTAGGCAAGAAACAGGTGGGTATTACAAATCCAATTCTCAAATAGATAGCAGAATGAATCATAAAGCCAAAAAAGTGACTAATGCGATCATACCCAACTGAAGGCTTGAATACCCAGAAGGACCTGCAGCAGATCTGAGTGTTTTACAGAAAGCAGAGTTTCATAATACCTGTACAGAGAGACGGACAGGGACTCCCATCCGCTTGTTGCAACTAAACTAAAGGGAAGTGGGAAGATATTTATGTAACCACAACGTTGGCGCGTTTGGTCTAAAATTAGCTTGAAATCTCATGAACAATGTGCAAAGAACCAGCCTGAGAGGAAACTATTCCATCAAAAGTTACTTATCCAGCCATAAGAGCACTATAACAGTGGAATACTATGAATAATTTCTTTCATAATAGACATTCACAGGCATCTGAAAACTGAACATTTCTGATTTAGCCTGCTAATGTGACTTAATGTAGCTTTTACAAATGTTTTATTGAACTAACTTTGCTTCAGATGGTTTATTCATAATGGAGAAATACTAAAATAAAGGACTGTGAGATCAACTGCATATGTGTGTGTATATTTTAACACATGAATAAAATTTTTATCATACTCTAAACTTAGGAGACAGTTCACCCACAAGTTTAAATTCATTTACTTTCCCTAAAGTGTTTCCAAATATTTAGGAGTTTCTTTCTGCTGTTCAACACAAAAAAAAAGATATTTAAAGATTGTTGGAAACCAGTACCCACTGCAGAAAATATACATATAAACTATGGATGTCAATGGTTACAGGTTTCAGACATTCTTCAACATATAGTATTTTGTGTCCAACAGAAATTGAAAATAATGACACAATGCTATTTTTTGGGGTGATAATGTCATATTTCTTATTTTGCTCTAATACAGCCTTCTAATGTGACTTAATGTAGCTTTTACTAACGTTTTATCGAACCAACTTTTTTGAGTTTGATTAAGTAAAACTTAATGGCATGTATGATTTACTCTATATGGAGCATGTTTGGATGGACTGGTGCTTTAATTTTCTTTATTATTATTTTATGTTTTTTATTTATTAATTTACTTATTCAATTTGTTTCTGCATTTTTTAGTTATCATTTGTACATAAAGTTTTATAGATAGTGTAAATGTTTTTGTTCTGGTTTGTGTTTACAAAAACGTACATTTTAAAAACTTAAACTATAAAATATTTAAAAAAGAATAAATACATTTAGGTCCATATATATTGGGACATTGACACAATTCTAACACTTTTGGCTCTATACACTAACACAATTTGAATTGAAAGGAACAAGGTGTGCTTTAACTGCAGACTGCTAGCTTTAATTTGAGGTAATTTACATCCGAATCATGTGAACGCTGTAGGAATTACAACAATGTACATATGTGCCTCCCACTTGTTAAGGGTTCAAAAGTAATTGGACAGAACAATAATCATAAATCAAACTTTCACTGTTAAATACTTAGGTGCAAATCCTTTGCAGTCAATTACAACCTGAAGTCTGGAATGTGTAGACATCACCAGATAATGGGTTTCATCCCTGGTGATGCTCTGCCAGGCCTCTCCAGAAACTGTCTTCAGTTCCTGCCATCACTGGTGTGTTCTTAATTTTTAAGAATGTTCCAAACAGTTGTTTTGGCTTTGCCTAATGTATTTGCTATCTCTCTTATGGGTTTGTTTTGTTTTTTTAGACTAACGATGGTTTGCTTGACTGATAGTAACAGCTCTTTGGATATCATCTTGAGAGGTGACAGTAACAGACACAAATGCAACTAGCACACTTGAAATGAACCTGGATCTTTTATCTGCTCATTATAATTTGAATAATGAGGGAATAACCACGGGACAGCTTAGTAGTAAATTGTCCAATTACTTTTGGACCCTTAACAAGTAGGAGGCATACATGTAAACTGTTGTAATTCCTACATTCCTTGCTCTTATACAGCCTGCTAATGTGACACAATGTAGCTTTTACTAAAGATTTATTAAACCAACTTTGATTCAGATGGTTAATTCATAATGGAGAAATACTGAAATAAAGCTTAACTGACAGGGCTGTGAGATCAGCTGTGAGTGTGTGTGTGTGTGTGTGTGTGTACATTTTAACATATGAATAAAATGATCTAGAAAGCATTCTCTATTTAAAGGGACAGTTCACACAAACTGAAATTTGCTCATAATTTACTTTCCCTCAAGTGTCTCCAGACTTTTAGGAGTTTCTTTCTTCTGACATTTTAAAGATTGTTGGAAACCAGAAGCTTTCATGCCTGGCAACATTTGACTTCTAAATTCTACTACTACTGCTGACGTTGCAACCGCCACTGTTCAAATCCCGCATCAACCACCCATGCAGAAATCAACTGCGATATGTTACAACTGGGTTGTAACATATGAGCTACATACATTATCTAGTAACTTAACAAACATGGACAATTTTTTTTTTTTACTTGATTGGGAAATTACAGAAGTTTTTTGAGAGAAATAACAAAATGGAAAAGATGGATGTTGAATACAGGAAACTTCTTTGAAAACTGGGAGTGTTGGAAGGTATGGTACCCATTAAAAACATGTATACTATGGATGCTAATGACTACAGGTTTCAGATACTCTTTAACATACTGTATACTATTTTGTGTTCAGCAAAAATAAAAAAATGACAGAATTTTGATTTTTAGGGGAGCTATCGCTTTAAATATTATTTGAAAAAAATGAGAGTTTCTCCTTGTCATGCATTTTTTTTCTTTTAACTTTACTTATTTTTTTCTAAAAAGCTTTAAAGATAGCATCGGTACAACAAGAAGCTTACAGTCTGATGGACAAGTCAGGTAAGCAGATTAACAGCAGGAGTTCTTGAAGCTCTGATCATACTTGGCTTTGACCTTTGCTTTAATTGGAGAGTACTGTAGTCAGATCTCAGCATGATCTCAATGCCTCCACTTGCAATGCTTCCAAGAATAGGACTGATAAGATTTTTCAGAAAAGATTTTCAGTTAGTCTACAAGTGTGGTTTGAAGATGTCTATGCCCTTACCAGATCTCTATGCAGTCAACTACTGAACATCTCAAATATTTTATGCACGAGGCACATGTATTGAGAGGTCAATACATCAAAATGATACTTGTGCTTATTTTGAATGCTGCAACATATAAATAAAACAGTCACAGTATTATCTCATGGGAGTTTGGGAGTTTACAGCCGCATCTGTTGTCATGCATTAAGCAGTCCTGAGATCACCAAAAGTTAATAAGGATTGGAGAGACTCATTAGAGATTTACAAACAGCCACTAGAAGGCGCTGTTACTCATGCAGTGCTGTCAGTATTAATCGGCATAAGGATAGCATTTGAAAATGCAGAATTTTGTAGCTATTAGGTTATCGCCGATATTATTCTAACATGACAGATTAACATCAGGCATTTAAACTAGAAACGAAAATTCCGGGCTGAAACTGAAAACGGTAGACGCCTTGGCCAAAAACTGAAAATGATTTGTAAGAATTATATTAAGTTAAATAAGGTAATTTTTTAAGACTTGTTAGTTTTAACTCGATAACTTAAATTGCACTGATAAAAAAAATTAAGTTCTTGATCTTATTTGAGTTGGTTTTTGGCTTGCGTAAAAAGGGTTTGAGCAAATAATGAGAGATGGAGGTACATTTATCGAATAAACGGATATAGTGAACATTACATCCACGTCATCAATGAGCTCTCTCCATTATGCTCACCTTGTTTACTGTTGGTTGCTAGATTACCAATACTACATTGAGGCTGTACTCACACTAAACACTGTTGCATTGAACTGGGCCTGGTAGGGCCCCCTCCCCAGCCTTTTTTACCTTCCGAGCTTGAGCATGCTTATATCATCGATGATGTGACTGTTAAGTTAAGATGAGAATCGCTCTTACCCAGTACCCCTGCTAAAATACCAGACTAGGCTGGTTAGCTGGTTTTAGCTGGTTGAGCATCCTGGTTTTAGAGGGTTTTTGGCCCTTTCCAGGCTGGTTTCCTGCCATTTCCAAATATGATCATATCACCGCAATTCTATCCTCCTTACACTGGCTGCCTGTTAAGTTTCATGTTAAATTTAAAATATTACTTCTCACCTATAAAGCTTTAAATAATCTAGCTTCTGTTTATCTAACCAACCATCTGTCTCGCTACAATCCAACTCACTCTTTAAGATCTTAAAACTCAGGGCTTCTGGTAGTACCTAGAATAGCAAAGTCGAGTAAAGGAGGTCAAGCCTTCTCCTTAATGGCTCCTACACTCTGGAATAGCCTTCCTGATAACGTCCGCGGCTCAGACACACTCTCTCAGTTCAAAACTAGATTAAAGACCTATCTGTTTAGTAAAGCATACATTCAATGCATCACTTGGTTTCCACACAAGTGTCTGCATCTTGCTTATGTACACTTTGAACAGCAGCTACGCTAACTATTCTCTTTTTTCTTCATTTCCCCCTGGGGATACTCATCCCGAGGTCCTCAGATTATGTGGAGTCACTGATTGGATCCAAGACCAGCGACGAGATGATCCCAAGGTTTCCATTTGCTCTTCAGTGTTTGGACTCTCAGAAATGATTTTAAACCACACTGAACTGAGCTAAACTGAACTGAACTTAAACACTAAAAACTTAACTACTCTGTTCCAATTACTATGACCATTTATATAAAGCTGCTTTGACACAATCTACATTGTAAAAGCACTATACAAATAAAGCTGAATTGAATTGAATTTCCAGCCTGGTCTTAGCTGGCCAGGCAGGAAAATGACCAGCTAAAGCCAGCTAAAACCAGCTTGACCAGGCTGGTTTAAGATGGACATAGCTGGTTTTTGCTGGGCTCTTACAAGCCAATACAATGTAGATTGCTTTAGTTACATTATTTTGTATTATTTTTGAGTCAACTATTAGGAGGTTTGCTTAGGGGGCAGCTGACGTGCAACGAGGGGGTTGTATCTTTAATAAACTATGACAGTTTGCGTTCATTGAAAAGTAAGAGTGATTAATAAATCCATATGAAACTGTACCTTAAAGTCCCCAAAAAATCTAAACTAACTGTATTGATTTATTTCAGCTCACATTGCTGGTTTTGTGGTGAACAGTTCATCTGTGTATGTCATTAAGAAAAAATGTTTACCTATCTAATCTATAATTGAAACCTGAAAATTCACTTGCTGTTCATTTAAATTATCAGATTATAGGATTTTGAGATAATGAGCGTGGCTAACCTACTTAAACATCTTGCTCCAACTATCAGTTCTGACAACAAACAGAAATGTTGAGCAGGAGGAGTCTTTTAGGTTGAATGCCTACTTTACTACATCCATTCAGTTCGCTGTAAAAAAACAAAACAAGCCACGCCCACAGTTTTCTTACTTAATATTCTGTTTCTCTAAGATATGCATCACAATACGGAAAAATAATAATAATATTGATCGCAGCATCCAGTTCATGGAGAGTTTAAAAGTGATGTTGCATCTTTAGTTTCGCGCTCAGGCACTCTTTGCACTCACACTACAAGCGCACCGCTCTAAAACCCAGCTGAACCGCACTCTGGCACACCTCATCCAACCGGGCCAGGGCCGGCCAACTGAACCACGCCTGAGTATGATATAGAGCACTCACACTTGTCCGGGAAATGTGGGTCAAACATGCCTCGGCACTGTTCGGATAGCCTAGTGTAAGTACACCCTTAGATGCTTAAATAACTTAATAGAAATGCACCTAATTCAAATCTGGCATTAAAATTTTTTTTGGTGAATTTTAAAGATTTGCTTCATGTTAAGATGGAAACATTCATAAGACCTAAACATTGTGTCAGGGACTATGAGTATTAATTTTGTTTTGTCTGCTTAAGTTGTTGAATCTCAAAGTGCAGGTTGCTCTTGATTTTTGTATCAACCAAAGGTGTCATTAATATCGCACACACATTATTTTTCAACAATGATACATAGAGAGAAATTAGATAAAATCAGGCATACATTATCAAAAAAAATGAAAGACTTGAATTCTTTTATGACCTGCCATTTTAAAATTCTGAAAGTAAATAACAAAGGTTACCGCATGCATAGGAAGTGTTGTGCTGCATTCACACCAGATGCGGATGAAGCATCAAGCGCAAGTGATTTACATGTTAAGTCAATGCAAAGACGTAAAAAGACAACCTGTGGCAAATTTCACGTAAATGATGTGGCGCGAATGAAGCATTTCGCATGAATTAAGCGGCGCAAATTGAGCATTTGCACGTTCGCATGACTCTGAGTTGGTAAATCTGAACTTTAGCAGACATTCGTGCTGCATTAACCAATCAGGAGCTTGCTCTAGTATGGGCCTGAATATGATGTAGCACCAGTCGTTTGTGTCCCAATGAAAAAACCTTCTGCCGTCACCAAACAACAGCTTATCAAACTAGACTCGGATCAGTCAGAAGCACCGCTGAAAGGAGTATAAGAACTCACAGAGCAGGGTGCACCTATTGGACTCAAGACAGAGGTGCCAATCAAATACCCAATATTTTTCAGCCTTCCTAAAGCACAGCTACTATCTCATAAAAAAATATTAACCATTTAGCAACGAAACTAGAGTCACCAGGCAGACAGAAGCCCCGCTACAGTTAAAATTATTTATGCACCAATGAAGAGAATGTGATGCTCCAATGAATAAACTCAAAATGTTTACACATCTATTTATGCGCAAGTAGTGCGATTTAAGGCTGGTTTATACTTCTGCGTTGAGTGATTGTCGTGACCCACAGCGCATGCCTTGCATGTTGCTGTGCATTTATACTTCTGCATGCTGTTTGTCTTGCTCTGCAGTAACTTCAGAAATACTAGCTGGCAGTGAGGTGTTTATGTTCCTTTATGTCAAGTTTCTACACTGGTGGTTTGTTTGTTCTAAACGCTACCTTAAAGTACAAGAAGCTAAAACTCGCTTATTCAGAGGTGGGAACCGGCAGACATACAACAACTTTAATCATAAGGTAAACACAAAACAAAACTTTCCACCTAGAGCTTCTTCACGGGATTCGGCACTTGTAAACACTTGCTCCATCGGGCTAGTGCGGGTCTCATTCCCACCCACACTCGTCAGTACTACCAAGCCGACCAATTACAGAGCTTGCGCAATGCATCATTGCGACATGTAGTTACATTTTTTGAGAGGTGGGCGTCATTTACACTCAACTGGATCTAAACGTTTATTCTTTTCTTTTTTCTGTTCTGTAGATTTGCTTGATTGGATTTTTAACATTTGGATGAACTATCATTAAAAAGGTGTCATTAGTACTGCGTTGTTTTGTTGAGAGGTAGTAATTTAGTCATCATCTTTAAACTCTTAATCAAGAGTAAAAGTGTCATGATTCCATCATCCATGAGTCAGCATCCAGAAACCTGATTGCATTCTGGCTCGATGAAGAAATAATCTATTTTAAAACTAGCAATGTTTCTTCAGTAAACTGATTAGCAGCACAAAGGGTGTCTGTTGCCATGCAGACGGGTTTACCTTGAAGTTGCGCATACTGCGGGGGCTGGTCGGGGACGAGCTGGAGGATTTGGCGGATTTGGGGGTAGTGATTTGGCTGTTGGGTGCACCGTTTACTGAGGAGAGTGACAAGAAGAGGAGGGAGACAGAAGAGAGAGAGAGAGAAACATGGTGTTACTGCTGACATTTGGTATTTTCAGCCACACTAAAACTGTTTGGGACATTGGTAATATTGCTGATATATTCCATAGGTCCAAATCAACAGTTGGTCACAAGGTTACACGCTATACTGAAACACATATAATATAATATAATATAATATAATATAATATAATATAATATAATATAATATAATATAATATAATATAATATAATATATTTCCCAGAGATGGGTTGCGGCTGGAAGGGCATCCGCTGCGTAAAAACTTGCTGGATAAGTTGGCGGTTCATTCCGCTGTGGCGACCCCGGATTAATAAAGGGACTAAGCCGACAAGAAAATGAATGAATGAATAATATTGTATAATATAATATAATATAATATAATATAATATAATATAATATAATATAATATAATATAATATAATATAATATAATATAATATAATATAATATAACGTAACAAAACGTAACATAACATAACATAAAATAACATAACAAGGTTCTATCTGCTTTTTGAATGATTTTGAGATGTTGAGCTTCAAAGTTTTTGCATTCCATAGCAAACAGTATGTGTGTAACATTTGTTTTTTAAATAAAAAGTATTAAAATGTAAACAACTTATAATAAAACATCCCATAATGTAAATAAGTTGTCATTTAATAAGAACATGTCAGTAACTCAATTTTGACAAAAATGTCAGATAGAACCTTATAATTCTAAGGTGATAAAAAGTCCAGAATTTGGCTGCTCAGTTGTCTAATTATGCCATCATAAATTGTGAAAATATCCAAATAGAAGAAGGCTTTAAGACAAACTTAATTTTTAATTATTCATATGTACAAATTCTGACTGAAGTAACGAGCTAACCAATTTGTTATTTGTCTTCAGGCAGCAGTTTTTAATTTAAGTTTGAACAGGTACCTAAATGTTTTTGTAATCATGGATGCTAATAATTTTTTATTTTAAAAATAAGCATTATTTTCACATTTCTTTGTTTAAAAGGTTTAAAATTCTAATCTCATTGCATTATTCATGAAACTGTAAAAAAGTACAGTTTAAATGCACATAATAAACACTTTGAGGTATAGTAAGCTCTTTGACAAAATTGTAGAAAATGTATTTGTTGCATAAAAAATGTGGTTATGATCGCCATCCGAAAAGCTAGACGAGCAAACATTATTGCTTAAAATGTAATGATAATAAAAACTACATAATTTAATAGAAAATTAAGTGAATAACTGCAAAAAAGTCAGGTTTTGAAAAAAAAGAACCCCCACGTCAATAGACTGGCAACAATTCTGCCCAATCACCTGTGTCTAATTCCTCAATATTAAATTAAACAGAATCTGAGAGTGAATGACCATTGGCCAAGATAAAAGTAAAAGAAAACTTTAACATAACATTATCAAACATAATGCATGTTCAATAAAATAAAATAAAATAAAATAAAATAAAATAAAATAAAATAAAATAAAATAAAATAAAATAAAATAAAATAAAATAAAATAAAATAAAACACTACTGAACAAAATTTTGTATAAAAAGAAGTATATTCTTTTCAGCAAGTCAGATAAAAATGTAAAAACTGAAAACTGTGAAATATTGCAGTAAAATAAATACATTTAAATATGTTTTGTCTTTTTGAATCTTGCTAAAATTGTATTCTGTAAACCGACTTTTTAACATCACATTATCTTTCAGAAATCATTTTAATAAATAAAAATTGATGATCTATTATGATCAATTATTATTGCTACTTAGATATTAATAATGATTCTCATGCTTTTCATTTATTTTTTCATTGCTTTGTGGAAACTGATTTTACTCACTTTTTAATAGTAAAATAATAATAATCATAAAATATTTCTATATTCTTGTTTCTTGAGCATATTTAAAGGATCATGCACTGGAGTAATTATGCAGAATATTTAGCTGTATATCAGATATGTATTGCATTTTCAATTTTGTCCAATAAGACAACAGTTCCTTTAAACAATTACCAAATTTACCAATAAAAAACGAAGATTTCAGATTCAAAAACATCTGAAATTTTCTCCTAAAATAAGAATTCTTCGCAGCCTCCATATGTTTATCTTCAGTTTTTAAACTTTAAAGGAAATTAAGAGCTTATTCATCACTATAAAAGTAAAATTACTGAGCCTATACACAGCAGTCAGAAATTCTTCAAATACTGTATTTTGATCAAATACCTTCAGCCATGATAGTCAATATAGGCTTCTTTTTTTCAACAAAACTTTACAAAATCATACTGAGGGCAAACTTTTGACCAGTAGAAAACACACATTACTGAGTGCATCCCAAGTGCGTCAGAATCCGCAGGGAGCATGGATTTGTAGAAAAGCTGCTCTTGGCATTTCCCGCTGAGTGTTGACTGTGGTATGAGCAGATTTCCCTCCAGGCATGCAAGAGTTCAGGGGCACAGGAATTTAGGGTGTGTGTGTGTGCTGCATTAGCCAATTTAAGCAGAAAGCAGATGAGGATGCCAGCATTTAGTGTACACATCCAATTGGTATGTCTGATAGATTAGACTATGTGCTTGCCAGGGTTCGGGGCAGTGGCCAGAGAGGCAGTTTTAAATAGCATTCTAGACTGGCTGATGGATTTGAAAGGCCATAGAGAAGAGCTATTAGCGTGATTGAATGCTACACTGAAGGGTTATGGGTCATGTATGGCTCATTCCACAGATGAGTATCCTTTAGAGCAATTCAGCATCATATGGGGAGATTCTGCTTGAAAAGCTCAAGAATTCCATAGTGTTGTCAGTGTGTAGTTTAAGCCCAAAGTATACTCTTATTTACTGTGTGTTAGCATACATACACGGTCGAAATGTACAGTGTCTGTTTTTTTCTTTTTTTTTCTCCAAAAGTTATGAACGATAAAAGCTAGTATTTGTTTTCAATTAGAGTTGTGGATATCATAAGTTTTTGCTGTCTTCAGTAGTTTGTTGTTGTTGGTTTGGATCAGTGTTGACACCTTGCAGACAAACTATCTAGCATAAAAATAACATAATACATAAATGCTAGCTGCACTTATGTTGCACAATAAGTCTAAGTTTTTTAACTGAATGTACAGACACAAAATTTGTGTCTTATGAATTGTATGCATATCAATATATAATAATAAAAATAAAGTGTACTTTGGGCTTTAGCCTTGGTTATAATAAAGGCAATAAAGCTAGCAGCATAGAAGCATCTGCTGTTTATAATGTAGTGGATGCATAAGTGATTAAAGTAAACATATCAGAATAATAACACATGGCAGCCTACTTCATAAATTGGTCTGCTGTTAATGTTGTTACATTAGTTAAATTTCACTGGCAAAATTCTGTATTTTGTATTGTGAATATTAAAGCATTGGTTTTCAGGCTGGGCAATAAATCAATATGAAATCGCAAACAAAATTGATCATATCTGTGGTTTTCATGCACATCTTGCTAGGAAAGCATGACTGTGTGTTCAATAGTTTCCTCCAAAGGCCAAAGGGCGCTCTTGTGCAGAAACTTCAAACATAAAGGAACCCAGGAGATCTTTTGTTTTTAATATACATCTAAACACAATTGTCTTGGCTAAAACAAGGCTAAATTTGGGCAGTTATTGAAAATCTAAAATACTTTTAAAAATAGGCCAAATCTAGACTAGTCTTCAAATAAACAGAAATGAATGTCTACACATATCTGTCTGTCTAATCTGTCTATTTGATGACTAGTCTAGTTTTGAGCTATTCCTATATGTCAATTAGATTTTCACTGACAGCCCAAGTTTAGCCTTGTTTGAGACAAGCTGTCTACGTTTATATGTCTATTAGACGTCTATCAAACAAAATTGTTTGCTGGGAAGATTCAACGTTTTTCATTTATTCAGCGTGACTAATAAACACATGACAATGGAATCATCTCACAGAAGGATTTATTTCAAACACTTGACTGAAATTATGAAGTGAGTTGGGAGTTAAAACATTTTACTAAATGTGACATTTTCACAAATAGCATTTACTATACACAGCTGTAGACCAACCTAAAGTGAAGCAAAAAGCTGTCATTTTGACAGAACAACTGTCTTGATTTCATTATCATCTGATTAATTTGATTTCGATACAAAATGTGATTTTGTGTAGCTTTTAATTAAACAACGACTCTGTGTAGTAAATGCTGCTCCATCTGAAAGCACATGCTAGATTTTTACTCAAACTTGCTCATAAAATGTGCATGAAAATCATCTTCGATAAATCATCCAACCCTAACTGTTAGCAGCTAAAGTCACTATTATATCATACAGTTTTTCGCTTGTAAGCATTGGGAAATCCAAAATGTGTGCACATTCCTATTGAAATCACAGCATTCTGCCAGCAAATAAATAAATGAATAAAAAATTGCAGAACAATGACAAATGTGACAGCAACTTTACGTAATGAAGAGGTTAGCCAATGAGAAAATAAGTAATTTTACCTTTAGAAGTCTTAAAGGTACGGTAGGAAAACTTTGTTTTTAATTCTAAGGGTCAAAGAGAAGGTGGCAATGATCATATATAACTAAATTGCAAGTGTTTTTGGGGCTAATATTATAAAAACACTCCAAGGGAAATTAATGTTTTTTTTTGTTGTTTTAAAATGTCAGGACTAAATTACCAATGAAACTTACTTGGTGATTTGACTGGAGACTGACTATTTGTGGAGAAGTGTCCTGCAGTTCTCCTCGCTGGAGCGAAGAGGAAAGCAATTGAACGAAAAACAAAACATTTCAGACAGGAGTGGGAGGAAGAGAATGACAGGAAGAGACATGCAGCGAATCACAATAGATGAAAAACCACGTTTCTGAGGCTTTTATTTTCAACAAACCTGTTTGCTGCGAGTCTGAGGTAAACCAAATGTTATTACCATATGGCATTACAACCAAGTTTTAAATTATCTCTATTAATGAACAATAGCAGAGTTGAATGGTTCAGCTCATGAGTCCAGTTGTTAATTTTTCATTAAATACTTTTTTAGATGTTATGTATATACAGCTGGAAAAAAAATTTAAAATATTACATTTGTCACCATTTATCTCAGAAAACATATTTCTAAATGTGCTGTTGACTCCCAATTTTCACCAGATGACAGTAGCGACCGAATTGATCCATATGTACAAGGAAAACAAAATAATTATTTTTGAGATTAAGTTAGGTGTGATTAAATGAATACACATTAGGAAAAAAGTATTGAACACATGAAGAAAGTAAGGTGGAAAAAGGAATCGTAAGACCAGACAGCAGATAAAATTTCTCAGAAATTCAGCAGCCCAGCCCCTTGTCCATGGAAATTTATATAATCTGCTTCGGTCTCAACACCTACATTACCAGGATGATGAAGCTGAAACAAGGGTGGACATTTCAGAAAAAATAAAATAAAACCCAAACACAATCAAGGATCTCCTGACTGGTTTAAGAAAAATAAAATAAAGTTGCTAGAATGGCCCAGGCAATCACCTGACTTGAATCAAATAGAAAATAAAAACTAAAGATCAAAGCTCATATATGAGACCCACAGAACCTTATTTATAGTAAGAATATGTATATTAATTAATTAATTAATTAATTTATTTATTTATCTGAGTGGAAGGATGGATGGGCAATTTACTGTTTGCATGCATTTATATAAGTAGTGCATTGTATCCTCACCAGATCCAGGGGATTTACTGCGACGGCCAGTTCCTGGACTTTTACTTCCAGAGTATCTCACAGGGGGAGCAGAGCGAGCAGAATAAGAGGACTTGATCACCTGACATTCTGGACACAGAGATATTGGATATTAGCAGAGAATGCATTTATATAATCTCATGATGAGTCATGATGCTCACAATGAATTATGCACAATTATTGACTTTACAGTTTCAAATAAACAACCTGTTTTTATTGGCTACTTGTACACGACTGTTCAAAAGTTTGGAGACTTTCCATCCCTGTTTCAACCTGGTATTAACATGCTCAGTGATCACAAGTGCTTAGCCGATATGCGTTGCTGTTATTAACATGGATTCAAATGAGTCTCTTTTGACAACTTGTGTTTGAATTTCATTGAGACCCTTCTCTAAATTACTTTCTCAGAAAAGTTGCATTGTATGAATGAATCCATGTTACACATCTTACAAGCATGCACAGAAGCAAGTGAATGAAATGTGTTCTGGTACAAGGGCATATAAGTGAATACCTTATTTTGGGTTTTCTCTCAACATACCCCATCATTTTAATATATTAGTAGGCGGTTAGGGAAGAGCTACAGTAGGTGTTTGTTTCTGACTGTATGCATTCAACCACAATTTGCACAATATTAAATCAATCTGATAAATTGAAGTCTGATGTAAAAGTGGTCAATAGCAGAAAAGATTTAGATCGCATTTACACATTAAGCATTCTCTATTGGTGATAAGTAGGCCCACACGGAATCTGCGCATGCAGAAATCTGCAGATATCCCCAGATTTTTAGCCCATCATTGAGTCTATTTATTTACTTGTGTAAATGTGTATAAATGTATATTTATTCAGTTTTTAAATTAATTTCAGTAATATTATTGACTAATATGAAACGTGCAAATGATTTATTTACAATGCAGTTTGTAAAGTAATATTTTCTGTCTTTTAGTAGATATATTACGTGAGAGACTGGATTTGTTCACTAAATAAGTGCATCTAATTGGATTTGCATTGTAAACATTAAATAAAAGTTCCCCTTCGGGGGGAACTCCAGCACTATAAGTGGATTTGATTGTAAAATCCACGCATTGGGAGGTTCGGTTCAGAAGCTACTCGTCTGAAAGAGTATTGAACGGGCCAATTAAGAATGAATTGGCAGCGCAAGCCTGCGCAGGTGAGCAGCATAAGCAATCAACTGAGTATATAAGCTCACCTGGCGCCAGCAGACGCTATCCTTTTCGCTTCAGAGCCTTTTCTGATCGAGCTTATGAGGGTTCCTCCTGCTGATCTACAGCCATTCGAGAGAACGATTTTCATCCCGGTCCAGAGCGAGTCCACGCAGCGGCAGACGGTCGAGCTGGGTATCTCCCTTGCCTGGCGTCCCTTTGGGTCCGGTCCTCCAAGAGCGGTGCGTATTGTTGCAAATCCTAAAAGAGCAACACAGTCGTGCAGCACGTCCTTTTCAGGATGGCGCTCCGACTGTGCGTTTCTGGTTGCGGGGGTTTCCTGGCTCCGGATGATGGACACGATCACTGCATTACATGTTTGGGGGTCCAGCATGTTAATGTGGTGCTCGGGGGCGGTTCATGTCGTCACTGCGATGCCATGACCGTTGCGCAGTTGAGATCGCGGTTAGCTTTCGTAAGAGAGCGAGCCACCCCAGTTGCCTCCTGTTCTGCAGCGGGCGCTCGGGCAGATCTGAGGGCTTCAGCGAAAGACAATCCGCCGCCCACGGGCTCGCGGACCTCTCGCTCCTCCAAGCGTTCCATCCAAGCTTCGGGTACTGAGAGTGATCCGTCTAATCAGATGGTAGCTCTCACGCTCGCTGACACCGGAGATCAGATGTCCTCCGCGGCATCGGAGGGCGGGCTTTCATTGTCCGACGATGATCCGGACCCGCTCGCCCCCTCTGGGCAAGCGAGCGCCGTCAAAACGGATCCTGAAGCGGACATGTTGGCCGTGCTTTCTCGGGCTGCTTCGGCCGTCGGGTTGGAGATGGTTTATCCCCCAGCCCCGCGGCCAGACCGACTAGATGGGTGTTACGTAGAGGATCAGAAGGCGAAGCCTTCGAAGCCTCTCGTCCCCTTCTTCCCGGAAGTGCACAGTAGGCTTACGCAGTCCTGGAGGGCACCTTTCTCTGCCCGCGCTGCGTCCGCCTCCGCCCTCACCACCCTGGATGGTGGAGCTGCCAGGGGGTATGAGGCGATCCCGCAGGTGGAGCGCGCCATTGCGGTCAATCTTTGTCCGCGTAGCGCCCCCGCTTTGCGTGGTCCGCCCCGTCTCCCGTCCAAAGCCTGTAAGTTTTCTGCCTCCCTCGGAGCTAGTGCTTACAAGGCTGCGGGCCAGGCAGCTTCCGCCTTGCATGCGATGGCCACCTACCAGCGCTACCAAGCGCAGGCGCTGGCTGAGCTGCACGAGGGTGGGTCTAACCCAGGCTTGTTACACGAGCTGCGTACGGCGACCGACTATGCTCTCCGGACCACTAAGTCCGCCGCCTGCGCACTGGGGAGGACGATGTCCACACTTGTGGTCCAGGAACGCCACCTCTGGCTAAACCTGGCAGATATGCGCGATGTCGACAAAGTTCGCTTTCTTGACGCGCCCATATCCCAGGCTGGCCTGTTCGGCGACACCGTCGGTGAATTCACCCAGGAGTTCAAGGCGGTGAGCGAGCAGTCGGATGCGATGGGCAGAGTCATCTATCGGCGGGGCCGTAAGCCCGCTCCATCCCCGGCCGAGCCATCCACCTCCGCTGTTCTTCGCCGAGGGCGCCCGCCAACGGCCGATGCCCCGCCCCCGCCTCCGCCTCCGGCGAAGCGAGCGCGTCGAGCACGCCGAAAGCCGGTAGCCCCTCCTGCCCAGGGCGCCGCTAAGTCCGGTAAACGGACCGCGAAGCGTCCCTGAGACAGGCCATCCGGAGAAGAGGAGACTTGCTCTTTCCCCGCTGGAGGGCGGGGCCCAAAATCCAACGGTACTTTTCAGTGCCACCAAAGTTTCGATCAAAGAGCATTTTCTCCCTTCCCCGGATGTGACAGCTCAAGCCCCGCCAGTCTGGGACGCGCTGCCTCTCAGCTCGCAGGGCTTGCATGCTCCGCCAGCGGCTCTCGGGCGCTGGGGGGACGGTCTCCCTTCTCCCAGCCCCCAAGCCCCCTCTCAGGAGTCAGGGTGCGGAGCCAGAGCGAAACGCTCTCCTCCAGCTCTTCTGTGGGACCCTCGCGCTCCCCGGATCAGCACACCCGCTCCTTGCTGCCCCTCCGCGGGTACGTCAACGATTGCTGCGATGACGTCATTAGCGAGGGCTCTGCCTGCTTGGTTAGCGCGGGCCAGCCCCTCGCGGTGGCTCATACGCACGATCAGACTCGGCTACGAACTTCAGTTCTCCAAACGGCCTCCCAGGTTTACGGGCGTGTATTTCACCAGGGTCAATCCCCTGTCCGCCCCTGTCTTGCGAGAGGAGATTGCTGCCCTCCTGGCGAAGGGTGCAATTGAGCCGGTGCCTCCAGCCGAGATGGAGAGCGGGTTTTACAGCCCGTACTTCATCGTACCCAAAAAGAGCGGTGGGTCACGGCCAATCCTAGATCTGCGCGTTTTGAATCGCTGCCTTCACAAGCTGCCGTTCAGAATGCTTACGCAGAGGCGCATCCTCCGATGCGTTCGTCCTCAGGATTGGTTTGCAGCCATAGACCTGAAGGACGCGTATTTTCATGTCTCCATTCTTCCACGCCACCGTCAGTTTCTGCGGTTTGCGTTCGAAGGTCGAGCATGGCAGTACAAGGTCCTCCCCTTCGGGCTCTCTCTGTCTCCGCGGGTCTTCACCAAACTCGCGGAGGGTGCCCTAGCGCCTCTGCGGCTTGCGGGCATCCGCGTACTCAATTATCTCGACGACTGGCTGATTTTAGCCCACTCTCGGGAGCAATTGACTGCGCACAGAGACGAGGTGCTCCGGCATCTCCGCCTATTGGGGTTGCAGGTCAACTGGGAAAAGAGCAAACTCGCCCCGGTGCAGAGGATCTCTTTTCTCGGGATGGAGCTGGACTCGGTCACCATGGTAGCGCGCCTCTCCGGAGAGCGCGCTCGCCTGCTGCTGAACTGTCTGTGGGAGCTCGACAGCAAGTTAGTGGTCCCACTGAAATATTTTCAGAGGCTCCTGGGGCATATGGCTTCCGCTGCGGCCGTCACGCCGCTCGGATTGCTCCATATGAGACCACTTCAGCACTGGCTTCAAGATCGAGTTCCGAGACGCGCATGGCATGCGGGCACACACCGAGTCTCTGTTACTGCGCTGTGTCGCCGCACCCTCAGCCCCTGGAACGACCCCTCGTTCCTGCAGGCCGGTGTGCCTCTGGGACAGGCGTCCAGTCATGTTGTTGTTTCGACAGATGCTTCCAGCACAGGCTGGGGAGCCGTGTGTCGCGGGCATGCAGCTGCGGGCCTGTGGGTAGGTGCCCAGCTGCATTGGCACATCAATCGCCTAGAGCTGTTGGCAGTGTTCCTTGCTCTCCGCCGTTTTTCTCCGGTGCTGGGGCAGCAACACGTGCTGGTCAGGACGGACAGTACGGCGGCGGCGTATATCAACCGCATGGGGGGTATGCGCTCTCGCCGCATGTCTCAGCTCGCCCGCCGTCTGCTCCTCTGGAGTCACCCGCGGCTGAAGTCGCTGCGCGCCATTCACATCCCAGGTATGCTCAACCGTGCAGCCGATGTGCTCTCACGGCAGCAGATTCACTCTGGAGAATGGAGACTCCACCCCGAGTCTGTCCAGCTGATATGGGCGCGATTCGTGGAGGCCCAGATCGATCTGTTTGCTTCCCCCGAGAACGCTCATTGCCAGTTGTTTTATTCCCTGACCGAGGGCTCTCTCGGCACGGATGCACTGGCCCACAGCTGGCCTCGGGGCATACGCAAGTATGCGTTTCCCCCAGTGAGCCTGATCGCGCAGTTAATGTGCAAGGTCAGGGAGGACGAGGAGCAGGTTTTGTTAGTTGCGCCCCTCTGGCCCAACCGAACCTGGATATCAGAGCTCTCCCTCCTCGCGACGGCCCTCCCTTGGCAGATCCCTTTGAGAGAGGACCTACTTTCTCAGGGACAAGGCACCG